AAAAGCACACTGCTCAAGGCAAACATGCATTACTAGCAAAGCTAAACCATTATTTGGGCTTAAAGATTTCAGGAGATATATTTTTTGGTTTTATTTTGTAGTTTTTTTTAATTAATAAATCATTTTATTGGGGGCTCTTACATATATTGCAACAATCCATACATCCATTATATCAAGCAGATAAGTCCAATTGTTAGCATAAACAATTTCAAAATATTATCTTTCTTCTGAAGCCCTTTGATATAAGCTCCTTTTTATTCCCTCCTTCCTCCACACCACCACCCTGAAAATCCTTTATATATTATGTATTGTTAGGATTATTTATACATATCTTACACCACCCATACTATCCCTTCACCTACTATCCTGGTGTTTGTTCCCCTCAAGGGGGGTTATTCTGCCATCACTGCAATCTGTTCGCCCTTCCCCTAACCTCTTGGAATTGTTACTTCTGTTACTCTTTCTAAGGGGATCTGTCTATCCTGAAGTCTGTATACTGAAAGCTCTCATCTGAACCAATGTATATACACCACTCTTGCAGGATTTATGATAGGACTGAATAATAATAGTGGTGGGAGGAAGGATAAAAGAACTAGAGGAGATTAGTATGTTTCATTGGTGCTAAACTGCCTCCTGGATATATATCTTCTGTGAAGCCCCTCTGCACAAGAATGTCCAATTATCCCCAGATGGGCACTGTATCTCTATTTTTATCCCTCTCCTTCACCTCGATGAAATTGTATATTTTTGAACTTATGATCCCTGTTCCCATCAACTCCTCATAATCACACAGGTTGGTGTGCTTCTTCCATATGGCCTTTGTTGATTCCCAGATAGATGACTGCTTGTTTGGCTTCAAGCTTGTAAGACCCCAGATTCTTTATCTTTTAATAGTCAGGCACCATCTGCTTTCATTACCACCTTTGCTTATATACCCAGGTTGTCTTCAGTGATTGTGTCAGGGCATTGGGCATCACCCAGTGCCACATCATTAGAACAAAGTGCTCTTGTGTTGAGAGAATACCTCAGCAGAGGCTCAAAATCCATGCAGTACCTCAATGTATTGCCATATAAATATATGTACCCCTATTTTGATGTACTAATATATTTACATATGTACACATCTATGTTTATACCTCTTTAGATAGTTTTGCTTCCTGATTCTTTCCTCTGTTTCCTTTTCTTCCTCCTGCCCCATGATCACACTCACCCCTAGTCTGTCTCTCAGTAATTCTTGGCTAGATTATGGTTGATCCAACACTACCAGGAACTCTACTCCCCTCACTGTCCATTTTAGATCCCAAGTCGTTCTCCTCTTAATGACATTGTTTGCTCACCACTCCCTTTCCCCCACCTCCTCCTGCCCCAAATGACCCCTAGAATTGGTCCCATTGCTTTCTCTTCATTCTTTATTCTCACATCTATCTTATACAGATGGACAAAACAAAAACAACGAAGACAAAACACAAACAAAATAAGGAGGCTTGGCCAAGTTGGTGACCAGATAGGTAGCTCACACCTGGAGCCCCATGGAGGTCAGTCAGTGGGGAGACTTGGGGGCCAAGTAGGGGTGTCAAGTCTGTCTCTCGATTCTCAAGACAACTCAGAGCACTTCTCTGAACCAGAAGCTGAAATCCACCCCATCACCAGCACTCCCTGCAGACACCCGTGGTCTCAGGCCCACCAGCTCACTCTTTCAAAGCACTCAGGGTGCCCGCTCTGCCTTGACCAGTGCCACAGGCCAGTCAAGTGTAGAGCAGAGGCTTCCGGCCTGTCTTGGCACTCGGCGCAGACCCGCCAGCTGCTACCAACCCCCCCAGAGGTGCCCATCAAGTCTGGATGCTCCTCACAGACCCACCAGCTAACCCTACCCCCAGAGGTTCATGCCCCATCTGAGCACTCCTCGCAGACCTGCCATCCAGCCTTCCCCCCCCCCCCCCGCCAAGAGGCCTGTGCCCCAGCACCACAGGTCAGTGAGGCATACAGAAGAGGCTTCTGCCCTGATGGCCCTTGGCGCAGACCCACCAGCCAGTACCCAACCCCTACACAGAAGTGCCTGCCAATCTGGGTGTTCCTCACTGACCTGCCCACCAGACACCCCCCTCCAAAGCCCAGAGTTTTCAACCCAAAGGTTCCTACCCCATCTCAGCATTCCCCACAGACCTGCCAGCCAGTCCCCCCACCACACACACACACACACACACACACACATACATAGAGGTTCCCATCCTGCTGCGATGCTCCAGGCCTGCCAGGCTTTGGACACAAGTCTGGCAGAAGCTTCTGCAGCTGAGGCATAGGGACCCAAGCCTTTGGGACTTGCCTACTTCATTCTCCCTTCTCCCTACTCAATCCCCTCCCCCCCTGCCATGCTCTGAGCAGTGGATCTGCACACTAACAGAAGTAGCAGGCCCTCCCTCCCACCCACCTACCTGTGGGAAGTGCCCCTAGCCAGGAACAGATCACCCAATCCCAAACTCATCCCTGAAATACTCTCCCCTGCGCTTGGGCAAACACTTTCCATCAGCATACACGACTGCAAAGAGCTCTTAAGGAGACCTGAGGGTGGCTCGAGCACAAAGCACATGCCAAGGCGAGAGGGAAACCTCAACACAGAGGTGAAACACCACCCTCAAGGTAGTTGGCTATAGGAAGCTTACAGAAACACCAACACCAACATCCCAACGAGAGAGCCCAGGGGTCTGAGACACCCGGGAAAATGTCACCTAGTTCCAATAAATAAACCAAAAAACAGCAAGCTGCTCCCAGAGCTTCAACAAGAAAAGAGAGACAAAATCCAATGCCAGAGGACCACCTGGATCTAACGGCAGTCATATTAAAGGCAGACATTGACCTCCCACAGGAAGAAATCTTCAGACTGCTGCTTAGAGTCATACAGGACATAAGGGAAGCATTACAGAAAAAGGATTAAATGATAGAGGAGATAAAGGCCATGCACCAAAGTGGGGGGGGGGGGAGAGCTAAGGGGTGAGATAACAAAATGAATAGCCAACTCACGGACTTTGTCCAGTGAATAGAGGTGGCAAAGGCTACTCGCTCTACTTGAATCCCCCCACCCCCCTGCAAGTTATGGTAATTACATAATCTTGTGTCAACTTGTGGATATTAAGAGTGAAGGAATGGAGTCTAGCCTATTTGATGATACTTCTTTGTGAGCCTGGTGTTCTCATGAGGATTCTGGAAACTTTCTCTCTCTCTGCCTCTCTCTCTCTGCCTTGTCTTCCTGTAGACACAGACCTGGAGATGCTTCCACCGGCATTGGGTTCACAAGACTTTTCACCCACTGGTCTGTGATCTTAGAGCGTTCAGCATCATTGCATGTGCTGAGTGAGTCTGAAGTGGAATTTATGGACTAGTATCGGACATATGGCCTAATATCAGACCTTTGCCCTTGATCTGGACTGGGCTGGGATGTTTTCTCAATGTGCAATTGCCCTTTGATATTAAACTCTCTCTTAAATACATATCTGAATGTACCTGGATTTGTTTCTCTGGTCAACCAGGTCTAACGCAAAGCTTTTCGGGACCCCAGGCATTACAAAATACACTAGAAGGCAGAACAAAGGCACTAAATAGGGCATTAGGCCAGCTAACCAAACACTTTATGAAAACCCTAAAACTCCAAACCAAGAAGCTAAATCAGAGCTACTTGTTTGTACATAGACATCCTCAGAAGCTGCTCTTCTTGTTGCTGTACATATTTCTATCACACAACATTTTTACAGGTACACGGCTTTATTCATTACATTTACTTTACCAACTACAAATTTAATGCAATTTCTCTAGCACCAGAAGCTACTTTTTTTATGAAACCAGCTTTCACATTACCCATGTTCAATAAGTCAATGTTGATTTTTTATGATTTCTCATTTCTTTTTCTAACAAGAAGCTCTCGTGTTCACAAAGTATTTAATAATCTGTTTAAGCATCTAGCTCAACATCAAGCTTGCCAAGTTTCAGGACTCTAAAGCTTTTCTCTATCTTCAAAAATGGTAACAGTTGTCTCTTTTCAGGCTTTCAATACATTTTTAAACAGTGTGGTACAGTATAAAGGGGGGTCCTTCAGAATCAAGCTAGTCCCAGCTTTTCAATTGTCTGTAGACCTTTGAAAAAGTTAGTAAACCTCTACAGTTTCAGTTTCTTCATCATTAAAATTCGGACAATGAAATTGCTAAGCATATACAAGGTCATAACATAAAATTATAGACATATTGGGTGGGTACATAGGTACATAGTATATGATATTTCTGTAGTCTTCTGTATTTAAACTATTCCACCACTTTCTCAATGCATAAATAATTTATCATAGTTTATCAGTGATTACCATTTTATTTAACTGTAATGTTCTTTCAAGAGCAGGAGAAGGTGCGTTACATAAAGAAAAAGAAAAGAACTTTACATCTAATAGACCTGGGTTTGAGCAATTTGGGGCTCCATCACTAATAAGCTGGATGAAATCTCAGAAAACTTTGTAACCTTCGTTACTTTATTTCTTAACTTGAAAAATTAAGAAAACGATCTCTTCCTTGAAAGCATACTCTAAAAATTAAAACTTGGCTCACTGCCATTGAGCCAATTATGACGTATAGTGACCCTTTAGGACAGGATGGAACCACTCTGGGAGTTCCCGAGGCTGTAACTCTTTACAGTTATAGCCCTTTGCCTCGCAGAGTGGCTGCTGGTTTTGAACTGTACATGATATGTATTCCATATCTGATATATATTGAAAATTCAATTGTTATAATCATCTTAGGATATACTTTTTGGACCTGGAGGTGCATATTTATATAAAGTAACAATATATTTTTTCTTAAATATTTCATTTAAGAAATGTGTTTTACGCACTGTGCTTTCAGTGCTGCTTTTTTCTTTGTTTTGTACAGCGCCCCCTGGGTTTATTTGAACAAACAGCACAGGAGCACACCAGCGCCATGCAGACCGCAGCCCAGGGCTCCCACCAGTCCATCAGATGGTGCGCTCTACTTTGTGGGAGCCTGGGTACCATTGGGAGCTTGAGCTGGGGCCTGCTCACCTTTGGGAACTGGAGCTGGGGCCAGGCGCCTTTGGGAGTCTTGCTGGAGTCGACACCTTGGATGAAGCCTCAGCCTTGCTTTGTGCCTTGGTCTTGGACCGCAGAGCCTCAGGCCCTTGGCAATACGTGCCCGAGCCCACTTGCCAAGGTTGGGGTGGGCAGTGTAGGCTAGTCGGCTAAGCTTGCGGTTGACGCCCATTGGGATCTTAGCCTTGACCTCCATGGTCTGCACAAGATCCTTGATGACCTCGGCTCGAGCAGCTGTGGCCTTGGCATTGTTGGCCTGCATTTTCTGCAGGCCCTTCTTGTTGTGTTTCTTGGTGAAGCCCATGTTCCTCAGGAACTTGAGGTCCACCCCACTCAGAGATTCGTATCGTTGTGATCAGGGTTTCTTGATGCCATTTCTGTGTCATTTCCGGGACTGGTTGTGCGTGGGGTGGTTCTTGGACTTGGCCATGTCTGCACCGATGCCTGCTGCTCCCAAAGCGCCAGAGACCGGAAGCGAGAGCAAGGACTGTGGTTTAAATATCATCTTTATTCGTCTCCATGCGCTTCATTTTTAATTCACAGTTAGAACATCATTTTTATTTCCCTAGCCAAGTCATAATTGACTCCTGCCTCTTCATATTTTTCATATGTAATTAACCAGCCAGCCCTATTGGACCTGCCTCAGCAATGCTTCTGCGATGGTCCCTCCTTTCCTCTCCACTGCCGACATCGTTATTCCAATGTTCACTGCCTTTCATTTGGACTGTTAACAAAAAGTGCTCAGCTCCTGTTTCTTTCCCATCCAATGAACTGCAGACACCAATGTCAAATTAATCATCCACAGTTCAGAGAAAGTTACTTTCCTGCTAAGAACCCTTCAAAGACTCCCCACCATCGACAGAATAAGATCCTTACCCTTACTTTCTTACCTTTCATCAAGTGCCCTACAGTTTCCTTTCCAATTTCTGTTTCCACAGATGCCTGAAGTACACCTGCTAGGCAGGTGACTGAAGAACCTCATCAAGAAGTGATGGCTGGCTATTTCTGAGATTTTGAGTCACATGAATTAAGGTGAAATGCAAGTCCAGGAGAACTTAATTGATGAAATAAGCAATATCAACTTATCAAATGTTAGCTGAATTTCTGGTTAATTTAATGCTAACATATGAGGGGAAGAGACATTGGGCTATTTCAGCCTATATAGTTTAAATTTCTTCTTAATGGGGAAAACAATTTCCTGTGTATAAAGTGCTATCTATGAGGATTTCCTTTGTTTGTTTAACAAGCATCTGACTGAATCGAGGGAGGATAACTAAAGTACAGAGAGAAGGAATGGCAACCATTTGAGTTACACTGAATCATATTCCCGTGTAAGGACACACAAGCCTTCAAGTTGAACCTATACAAAATACAAAACTTGCATACTGTTCTTTTCTTTATTTTTTCTTTGTTAGAGTTGCTTGTGAATTTATTTGAAAATACTTCATATTTATGTGTGTCATTCTGGTCCCCAAGTCAAAAAGAACAGTAGAAAATTCACTATTTTAGTTAATTTGATTCAAATTTTCTAATGTTCTCATAGTAAATATGTGAGAACAAACAAACATCACTACTTCCAGTAAAGATACCTGTTTTCAAAGATTTTTCAGTGCTAATTTTGTTAATAAATACTAGTTGATTTCCTGTAATTGTTTATGTCAACCTCTTTCTTATCTTTCCTCCTCAAAAAAATAAAAATGGATAGGACAAGAAAAATAATATGGCATTATTTTCAGCCAATATAATTTTCAACAAAAGGCTATGAACTCCATAAATAGTTCTTAAAATGAGTTTTGCTCTATTACTAGAGGAGAGAAGGCACTCCTTTGTAGCACAGACAGAAGCTATCAAATCTGTTAGTCTGCACCTGAGGTGCCTTCTGAGGCCCTGAGATCATCCCTCTCCTCAATCACACTTTCCATTGTAAGAAGGACCAGCCAATCAGCTTCCCTATACCGGTCATCCCGACAAAACTCCTCGAAAATACCAAAGATACAATCACTCAGAGCCTCTCTTTAAACCAGCACCTCATCTATCAGTGGTGATAATGTAGATATTAGCTTTGCTATTTCACACCATGGATTAGTAAGAGTAGCAGACTTATCCATGCTTTGGGGCATAGAAGTAGCATTATTAGTGCTGTTAAGACTAATCAGGCTGGAGAGCCAATTTAAGAAGCCCATATTTATTATTTTATTTCTCTAGAAGCACTCCTGGTACCAAATGTGTTAGAAAGGGTTTTCTAGAGAAACAAAACCAAAATGCTAATAATTGTATACATATTTGTACAGATAGATATATAACATAAGAAGTGAACAGTTAATTAAATTATAAAGTAGTATACACATGGCTCAGTGCAACTCACTCCTGTGAGACAGTTGTGAGACACTGGCAGTCCTTCAAGTCTTGAGGGCGGCCGGGTAGTCCTCTGTAGAGAGAATTCAAGCTATCCAGGCACAGGCAGCAACCAGCAAGGCAGGTCACCAACAGTCAGTCAGACGACAGGGTCCCACAGTCCCCAGCTGAAGAGATGTAAATTCCAATGGTGTGGTGTATCAGGTCTTGAAGGAACCTCAAATTACAGTGACACACTCCACGGGTGAGGTGTCCCACAGCTAGTGTAGCATGCAAATTGGGGCAAAGAACAAGTAAAGTAGCTGCACACTGGTCAATGATCAAAGAACAAGAGAAAAAAAAAGGCCAGGCCCGCTGAGCCATTTATCTCTCTGCCCTTCAATTAATCTCACATGTGTTTATCAGCCAGGTTGGCACAATAAACTACCTACCTCACAGAGATATCATTCATTTAACAAGTTTTAAATAAAACTGTAAACATAGCATATAACCAATACCTATTTAGAGAACATAAAAAGTGAGGCATGCAAATTCTCCCTTGGATCTTAAATGCAGGATAGATCTGATTTTAAAAGCAGAAGTTTCTTTCTTTTTGATTGAGGTTTTTATCTGCCTATGAGCATCACCAATAGGAAGGCAGAAAGTTTTACAAGTGAAAAAGGAAAATGAGACCTCTTGGTAAGCATTTTGTTATTTGTAGAGAGAGGGCTCCATTTGGCCAACACTTCACTTTGACCACACCGAGGCAAAACACTAAGGAGGTGCAACAGAACAGCAAGGGAATGGAGCAGCGAGGTCCTCAGGGAATGCTGAAGGTAGACTCTGGGGCCAGGGCATGGTGCCCCAACAGACTGGACTGGAAAACACCCCTAACAGCCAACAAACAATCCTTGAACTAACTACAAGCTTTCCTTTCTTATTGTGTTTTGTTTTGTTTTGTTGTCATTGGTTTGTTGTTGTAGTTGTTTTGTTGTATATTGTTGCTTGGTTTTGATGTCTTGTTTTTGTGCGTGTTATTATCTCCACAGGTCTGTCTAAATGAGATAGGCTAGATGAACAATCTGGAGGAGAAAACAACGGGACCGACAGTTCTGGGGGAACATGGGAGAGGGGGAGGTGGGGGGAAAGGAAGTGGTATTAACAAACCCAGGGACAAGGGCACAATAAGTAATCCAAATTGGTGGTGAGGAGGGTGTGGGAAGCCAGGTAGGGCATGATCAAGGGTAATTGCTGAAACCATGGTGGGGACTGAGCATGATAGTGGGACAGGAGGAAAGTC